TGCTTAATCTCCGCCCGCATCAGCTTCCCACCGAGCCAGTCCCGCCCGCCCCGCCTCAAGGTGGCAACGAGGGAACTCCCTACCTCCAGAGCCCAACCGCGGTGCGGGTGCCGGGGAATCGTTCAACGCTCTCCCGCCCACCCCGAACTAAGAACCCTGGCGCATAAACGCACTTCCTCCCCTCGGGTTGCTATGGGTGGGTGGGGTCGTGTACCGCCCGATCGCCACTCTCACCGGAGGCTGGGGGCTAGAAACATCGGGCGAGGAGTCCGGGAAACTCGGGGCCCCGGACGCCGAGGCACCACGTGTTTCCGCGCCGCTTCCAGCCGGTCCCGCCCTCTCCCCGAGACCCGCCAGGTTGAGCGACCTAAGTCCGGAGCGTTACTGCGCCTGCGCCAGCGAGCCCGCGTTACTAGCTGCCGAAGCCCCGCCCACTTATCGCGAGAGCGTAGCCTCCGAGTCTCGCGAGAGCTTGCCCGGCTTCCTTACTGAAGTTCCAAGCGCTAGTCGCCGCGGCCGGAAGCTCAGCGGATTCTTTCTTACGAAGTCTGCGTCTAGGGGCGCAGGTAGGGGATAGAGCGAGGATCAGGGGAGGAGGCGGGCGCTTTGGGGGACATCCGGGGCCGCGGGATCTGAGTGTTAACCCTGTCACTCCATCCAGTTGCGGCCTGGGGCGCCGGGCCCAACTCGGCCAGCCCGCGGTGGCTGGTCCCATCACAGCCCAGGCATTGCATCCGGCGAGCTCCGCCAGCTCGGGGTTTTGCATCTTTTGCCTTTTACTGGGCCCCAGTAACCCAGGGCTTCGTAACCGCGGCACTGTTGCCCTTTGGGGCCCGAAAACTCTTTGTAGGGAGCGCTGTCTTGTGCACCGCGGGGTGGTTAGCCCTGTCCCTGGCCTCTCCGCCCACTAAATGCAGCGCCTCCGCACCAGTTCTGACCATCGTGAATGTCTCAGGCATTGCCAGATGTCCTCGGGGAGGCAAAAGTCACTGGTTGAAAATCAGTGAGCTAAAGTTTGTGTTTGCATGCTGTGAAAGATAAAGATGGGCTGAGATTACTGTAGGCTCGAGTAGAGTTTAGAAAAAAAGAGTGGAAGATGGAAGCCCGCAGAGACATCTCTGCGGGAAAAGTATGACTTCATCTGGGCTTTAATGGGTATGCTTTGGATGGTGGCAAAAAGAGTCACTGCTTGGCACTCGCGTAGGCCAACTGCCCTTCCCCCACCATCACCCATGACAGTGGATAATTAATCACAGCGATCTTT